CCCCCGCAAAAACACCAAGTGGGATCTTCAGAAGCACAGGCAGCCAGGGAGGCAGCAAATTAATACAGATGCGTCACAGAAAACACCGCCATTAGTGGTGCTTTTGCCAACAATAAAGTCAGCTCAGAAAACACCACCCAGAGAAAGTCCAAACTCTTTCAAGGATCGAAAGAGTAAAGTCGAAAAACAAAAAACCCTTTTGTAAAGGGTGTGTGTGTGTGTTTGAGAAACAGAAAGCCTATTTCAACAGTATGTTTATGATTCAGAGAGAACAAGTCAGTTACTGCTGCTCTGAGGCTGACCCCAAGCTGCTGGGGAGAACCAGAGAGGTCACGTTTCTACCTTTAAATGGTAATCCGACAAGTGTCCTCTGCAGGGTTACAGTACTGTATAGAAAGAGATTAGACTTGGCCCAAGCCTGCTGACCTTTCGCAAGGCATTGAAACCCTGGTTTTGCCATCAAGCCTGGGGGCCCTGATAGTACAGGGGAGCCCATTTCTTGATCATGGCTATGTTAAATGAGTGTTCTCCAGTGCTATGCTATTTTATGTTATTTCTGTTGTTTTTAATTTTGGTGGTTTTTACTATGTTTTTATTCTGTTTTGAACTGTTAGCTGCCCAGAGTCATACATATGAGATGGGTGGCCATATAACTTTATTAAATGAGTAAAACAAATAAATAGAAAGCTGTAAATTAAATCTTTGGTACCCTCTAGTGGAGTGGGAACTGCTCCTCCCAGAAAACCAAGCCAGCTTAGCAAATTGCAACCCCAACCCCTATGTTAGGCCTAGGACTCCTGGAACTTAGCACAAAGATCAGGAGAGGGGACCATGGGGCAATCTTACCCTCTCCTTGCGAGGAAGGTCATCCGCCTGGCCTCGGCTCGCTCCCGCAGCACTGCTGGATCTTGAACAAAGTGATCCTGTTACCAGTGAAAAAAACATCTTTGAGAAGCAGAGACTCATGGGTAACAAAACGTTTGCAAGAAAACAACCAAGCTCAGAGAACCCCAAGGACTCTACGCACATTTCCTCTATCGTCCAAAGAAAAAATC